CTACTACTACTACTACTACTACTACTACTACTACTACTGCTACTGATATCCCATCCAATCCAAGCCAATCCAATCCTACACCCTTAGATTGCCCTAACTCAACTCGTGCCTGACCTGGTAATTCTTGCTCGATGACCTCGTTACCCCGGCTGGGGTCGCGCAGTTACCATGTTACCAATCATGCCTTGCTTTAGTCCATGTTGTTGTAAAGTGTTAGACGAGGCAAAAAAAATTAGTTTAATCAACTGTGGGTTCAACCAGCTTCGCAGCTTCACTTCAAGAATAGCATGTCCAATCAGAGTCAAGTAGCATGTGAATCAATTTCTGGACGTCGAACATCCCCCAAATCATCCAAAATCATCCAGGTCCGAATCGCTTTTGCCCCACCAGTTCCATCCAGTTCCCCTCACTCTTCCCTGAGCACCCCGGCCGCCAAATGCCAAGCCTCGGAATCGTAGCCTGCGACGGTGGGGCTCTGGCGGGGCTATCAAAACCGCCCCAGGGAGGTGAAACTGCAACTATGGATATGCTGGCTATGAGTTAGCATGGTTTAGGGATGTTTAGGGAAAGGGATCAAAGGTCAAGCACCATCTCTCTTCGCTTCAAGTCTAGGTTGTACATATCGATGCGCCATGTTGCCGTTCAATCTGTGATTGAAGTGTGACACGGCGTGGCCACAAAACCAGATCCACGCTTCAGCCTATCTCGTGGGCGGAGCAGTCGAGTTGAACTGAGTCGAAGACGCTTCGATCATAGATCCCAAATCTAGTGAACCGCTAGAGCAAGGTCCTCACGATGGTGTTCCTCACTCCTCGTGTCGACGCGAGCTTTTGCAGAACAACTCCATGAGAACCCGAAAAGACCCTGAAAAGAATGTGTTCTCGGGGGCTTCAGGTGTTTTTGCTGGGCAGTTGATCGGTGTTGAGCCGTGCCGCTGCTCGATTCTCAAAACATCGATTATTCTTAGTCTAGTAGGTCTTACACTCATGAACCCTGCAGATTGACCGCCAAACCGCCCAAAACCACGTCGGGTTGGTCTTCGGTTGACCTGGTCGAAACCACGGGGTGAATTCTCAAGGTCCATTGTTACGGAGCCGGCCATGACCCGGCTAACATACGGATAGAATAGGTATTATACACGACCTCTGGAGGGGGGCAACCCCTGGGCCCGGCCTCCACTTCCATTTGAATGGCGTAACAGAAGTGGATAGCATGGCCCGAAAGGATGACAGTCCGAAGACCAACCAGGTGGAGAGCTCCACTTCCATGTGAGTGACGAGTGTAGTAAGCAAAGTCAGAAGAGTCAAGTATCTTGTGGATTGGGAGAACTGTTGCAAATCTCCATGCGAAATTTGTGGAAAGCTTTGGATGGTCTCAAGTGCCAAGCAAACCTTGGACGCCACGCCAGTTGCGGCGTGTTTTTGGTATTTCACCTGCCAACCTGTTGCTTTGGGCCAGCTCGGCCCGAGGCGGCGCGCCTTCGCCACAACTGGGACAGCTGGCGCGGGTAAAGCCTGGGACAGCTCCACCGAAACCCGCTACGGCCGGACGGTGAGCGGAGCCGAGCGGAAACCGGCTCCGGGGTGTTCGACACCCAGATGGTTTTTGATGGAACGCGAAGATGCAGACTGTATGGAGATGTAAAAACCCATTCTGGTGAGGTGATTGAGCAGCAGTCCACCAGCACCTTGGAAATGGTCTCCAATGGAATACGCTACATCACCCTACACTATATATGTGGATCTCCATTGGACGGGTGGACGTTGGAGTCCTAACTGAAGTCCAAATCTGAAGCCCATTCGGCACAGCTTGGGGGGATCGTCACACTTGGAATTCCACAGCCAACTCCACTGGAACTTGCTCGCCTGAGGATGCCCACGCGGAGCCTGCACCCAAGACCTGGCTAAGCTTTTATTCGGCAGTCCATCCGCTCGGGCCCAATGAGTGTGGCAATCTAATTGTCCACTCACTTTCCAGGGCTGAAACTGGAGGGCTCAAACCAGCTTTCCCATGTCCACATCCAAAGTCTTGCTCTACTTCTCTCACTCATGTTTTTTCACCTCTCCGCTGCCTGGTCCAGTACTTTCACTGCGAAGGCCTTGGCTGTCTCCTGCGCAAACGCTAGGATCAGGCAAAGGTGTTTCCTACCGGAAGAATTCTGACCGAACTGCACAGGTGCGAGTATGAGCACCAGTCAGCCCAAATCTTTGCTCAAAGGGTCCTGCCCAGCTCCTTGCCAGGTCCTTCACATGCATCATATCACTTAATTTCAGACTGCAGGTCTAATATATTATATACCTAGAACCCATTTGACCTCTGTCTTGATAGGAAAATACAATCTTTTGGGTAGTTTGTGATGTTTGTGGTCTGGGACCGGACCCACTGACCTCTTCGTGATTTGACTCACCCAGCTCGCCCGTCTCCTCATCCGTCCCGTCGGCTCCCGCCATGGCCCCTCGCATCGCGCCCTGCGTGGGGCGCTGAGAAGCGAACCCACCGCGGTGCTTCTGGGTGACCCGGGTCAAGTCCCCTCTTTGGTCACGCCTAAGTCTTCGACCTCTCTTGAAAGACTCACATGGTTGAAAGGCCCACATGTGTTGTGTTGCCAATTAAGTCAGCGCAGTGCAGCATTTCACAAGCACATTGGTGGCCAATGATTACGTTGCCATCGGTTGCCCTGTAACTTGTGCATCTTGTAATCTTCCACCCACATCAAAAGGGTCCACGCGCACCATCCCCCCGACACGTGCCCCAGGCGGCTCTTTTGTTCGTCCGCGCGTTAACCGATGAGGATGTTCCGTTCGGGGAAGGGAACACTCCGAATACATGTACATGTACGACATGTCTCTGTTTCCGGGGATGAAGTATACTATAGGTCAAGAAATGATGAAGTCTCTTTCCCTCACACAGCCTGTCTTCAGTGAGTTTGTGGGAGGTTGTTGTAGAATGGGTTGTAGTGTGAAATGATCTTAGTCCCAAAAAGCAAAGCTTTCCGGAGGCATCATAATGCAAGTTCTTCGAAATGATATCAAAGAACATGCTCCTGTCAAATCAAACCCACTCAAAAAGGATAGGTCTGACCACTATGGACTCGAGAGCCCCAAAAGAGAGTCAGTTAAGACTATCCCATGGGGTGTTCATCTCTTTCTGTAGCTGCAGCTGTAGCTTCGAAATCCATTGCAACTCCCCTTTCACTCTGTGAATCCTTCTCCAACCAACCGAGGGCCACCACAAAGTGGATAGGTCCAGATCAACTGGCTGCCATCGAGCATTCACAGGCAAGACCGGTGCAGCTTGGGCTTCACTATTATGGCTCAAAAGGAAGGGTACAACGATCCCTTTTTGGCTGGTTTTGCTGTTTCAGCAGCCTTCCAGTCTCGCTTCGTCTCGCCCAGCTCCCCAGACTCGCACTAAGAACAGGCAACGGCTCAAAACACATCTCCTCCCACAGGGCACAAGTTCTATTCTAAATTCAAAAAAGACATAAACTCCATCTTCCTCGGTGCACAACAAATCTCCAGGACTTGAGCACCCTCCAACGAGACAACTCTAACCTTACATGTCAACATGTCACCAATCTGGAGTTCAATCGAGTCTGAAGATCGGGTCGAGATGATCACGCAGTGCTGCAAACTGTCTCAACTGGTCCCCCGCAGTTTCCAGGGGTTCCAGGATTGTACGTGGCACATGGCGAGCTGGCTGGCCCCCCCCCCCCCCACAACTCTCCACTCCCCGCGCGCGGTATTCTTTCCATTATGTCTACCCGGCCCATCACGCTTTGCTTCGGGAGTTCTTTTGCAAACCCCCAACCCCGGGGTCAGGATCTGGATGGGGGAAACTGCTCACTAAATCTCCAGCAGCATTCTGCGTGGGTCCTGCTTGTTGCAGCACCGAAAGGTCAACGGAGTTCTCACCCCAACAGGTGACAAACATTATCAAACATTAAAGGAAGAAAGCGCGAGCAGACCGGTGTATACTGTATCTGCTGCGTTTGCTGTAAGTGTCAGGCCCCGCGGAATTGCAGCATGAAAATCAGGTGGTGGTATATAACCTATATAGTTCCACAAAGTCATCAAGTACAAACCAGACCACCAATATAGGACCTGCGGACAAGCGCCATGAAGGGAAGGGAATGGCAAGCTTCCAGTTCACAAGTAACTTCACATGTGCGGGGCTTGCGTATTCACGCGTACACCGACAGATTTAGTTGCTGCCTATCCATCAGGAGGACAACACTGGGATGAGCCTGGCGATACACCAGTGATACAACCGCCTTAATTCGCTGAATTTCATAGCCCAAGGAGTTCGCATGTGTTTCGCTGGTGTCTCCCAAAGGTTCCTCCGAAGTTCATTGCTCCACTGGGAAGATCTTCCACATCAGGCCCCCATGAAAACCCGGAGAAGCCCCGCCAGAAGGTGGTCTCCACATCGAACTGCGGGTCGTCCTCGACTTGATCTCGAACCATACAGAGGAAGGTGACGGCCTGGCGGGTGCAGTCGCCAGACCATGTCATTCAGTCGGACATCCCAGAGACCTCTCCCGAAACACATCCCTGGACCCTGTGAACAAGTCGAATCATCCAGTTGGAGAGAATAGACTCAAGAGCAAAAATGCTCAGTTTAAGGCTGGATCAGCGGCCGAATGTATGTCTGTCTTGTTGCTCGCAACATGTCTGAGTCTGGATGCCTCCATGCTTCGTTGAAACACACTTTTGATCACTTTTGTACTATCAACATGCTTCCTTACGCCAGAAACACTGAACCCGGCAAGCACTGCAAACAGTCATAGTCACCTTGATCCTTCACATGGGATGGAAAAAGGATGGAAAAGGGAAAGGTTGTGAGGATTTGAAGCCTATCAGCCTATCAGCATGTTCGAAACCCTGGCAGCTCTGGCGTGCCCACCTCGCGCCCATCCACCAGCCGGTGGTCATAGGTCAAGGCTAAGTACATCATCGGGCCTTTCGCTTCGCAGCGATGGCATGGATCTTACTGGCCGTGTGGCTCCGCGAGGAGTCCAGCGGGGTGTGGCTCCGATGGTGTCAGACACTTCGGCCCGGGTGGGACGTAAGGGCGAAGATTCTGTTCAGCTTTAACATGATTGGGAGTGGCACCCGATATTTCAGTGGCCAAACATGGTCCCAAGCGATTTGGAGGTGTTGGTACAGTCCAAAGATTGCAAACTCATGGAATGCAAAAATCGTGCAATGCACATCCAAGATAAGTACCGTTGAGATTTAGTAGCTATATTGAATACACTCCTGTGTCAATATTGAATCAGTCACAATCAGTGTATGTTTAGAATTGTATTATTGTTTAGTTGGCTGGTTGACGCAGTTGCACACCGGCTCGCAATTGCGGGCTCTCAAAAGAGGAAATACAGAATCATCCACATGATACATCCATCTAATCATTTTAAGGTCGAGGCAGCAGTTGGGTCCTTCGTCTACCCCAAAAAAATGGCTCCCCATAAAAAGACAACGAGGACACCTGGTGACCACTTGACTGAGTCTGGGTTAAGAACACTGATCAACTCCGAAAGGGCAACACCGGACATGGAAAAAAATGCGTTGAATGTAGACTCTTGATTAACAAACCCTCCTATATATGAAATGTTTTTTCAATCCAAAATGGAGCAACTACCTGTTTGATGCCGTGCAACTACCTGTTCGTCGAAATTCGTGTACATTAGCTCACTGTTTCTTGAGTCAGTGTCACTGGGGTACACCCACCCATAACCGCCGGAATACCCGGCAAGGGGGGGCGCGCACGTTGACGGTCCTCAAGTTCGCGCATCTAAAATGGCGAGGGTTATGAATCAAGAATCATCCAGAATCTACATCAATCCATGTCCAGTTTGAAACCGCCTAGGTGCTTGCACACGCGATGCCTATAGGCAATGGAATTTCTTCCCGCGCACCCTTCGATGAGGTCCCGCCGCCCGAACGGGCAGACGGGGGGGGCAGACGGGGAGACGTCGGGAACGTGGTGTGGCCCAAATCTGGTTCGGACAAACGTGGAAGAATGATGAAGAATGCCAAGACTGGAGTTCATCTTCGATAAATATATAGAATTACCCTCTCAGAATTACCCTGGGGGAACTCCAAGAGTTGTCACTGAGTTGTCCCAAAACTCGAGTTGTCACTGGTGAAAGGTGCCACCGTCGCCGAGTTGTCCCGGTCCGAGCGACGGATGCCAATCTCCCCATTGGGCAGCACCACTGGCCGATCCTGAGAGGAACAGATGTGTGGTTTTCATCCCCTAGCGCTCCAACCACCTCCTGAGAAGGTGCTTGGGGTGGGTGCCAGGGGGTCCAACCACCTTCTGAGGATATGGTTGGAGCCCTAGGGATCATGTCATCATACCCCAGACACGACCTGTCATAGGACTGCCGAGAAACGGCCGGGGGTGCCAGGGGGGTCGCCAGTCCCATGGAGTGCCTGGGTATGTGTTTCCTTCTGAGTTTCTGCTTTCATGGGATTCCTCACCATCTCAGTGTGAAGCCATCTACATGACACACGACACACACACCGGACCATTCGCGAAGCGGGGCCATGGCGTCAGCGTGGCGTCATCGTGGCGGTGTCGGATCCCCAAGTCATCGTTCGAAATGCAAAACACATCGATGAAAACCGTTCAACGTCAGATGTCACAACGTTCGACGGGGTGCCTGCCTATTGGAGGTGATCGGGGTGCCCCGTACGTCACGTCCACTCAATGTGACTCCTGGAACTCAGATGTCTCCGGTGTTTTCAACGCACCGTCGCACCATGCTGCGTTGATCCCGCAAGTCTGGGTGGCCCGCCCTGCTTAGTACCCGACTCCCCCAGAATTAGGATCATTGAGTGTAGAAAACCATCCTCATCCCCCATTGCTTGGGAGTACGAGAGGATCAGTACCATATATACGAAGATCAATTGAGCACGGTGTACGAGCCGAACGAGCCCGTGGTTTACACGGCTCGTTTGAAGGGCCTCGGCCTCGGGCAGATGGAGGCCACGCATTGCTGATCCCAACAGGTGATGCTCCAAGGGAAACCGTTTCCTATCGTAGGTCACCCCCGAAGGTCGAATCCTTGAAGTGAAAAAACATATCCTATATATTATGCGGTGATTGGGGCAGCGAGTCGACGAACGAGCTCCACACTCCATCTATAGGTGATCTACAGCATAATCAGCATAATACGGCCCAAAAGCACACCCACGAAATGGAGGGCCTGGGGCCTGTGTCTCCCTGGATCCATGCACAACCACTGTAGAGTTGTGATGTCTCGCGCGGCAAACAGATGTCTTCAGCCACCCCTCTTCGCCGAAGGAAGTTCGGGGGGTCGCCGGGGCCGTCGTGGGCGAGGCCGCACCTTGGTCGCATGAAGCCCCAAGGCAGCTGCACTGCTGGTGGAGCCAATCAGCCTTGGTGAACGAAGCGGAGTTTCTTTGGAGGACTCAAGGACTGAAGGACAATAAGGAGC